TACCTCAGAACACCCAAACATCACCAAGTATATTCTACAAATTTCGGCAGAAATCCATTCCAAGCATTTGGTGTTATTCATTGTCTCGGCTTGTTCTTAACTTGATAAAATAAACAGATTTACGTCATACGCTAGTGTATAACTGAATAACTTTGATAAACAACGGCGACCTGGAAAGTTTTCAACTATGGTTGTGATGAGGGTGCTCATTGCTACAGCTTGTTTTTATTCTATAGACTTATTAGCCAGTGATGCACACTTCTACACTTTTCACTCAAAGGTACAGTGCCTCAAACTATTGGCTCTCAGGAAATGGCTAAACTTCAGGCTTCTAATAAAAGTGTGGACAAACTTCAGGACCAGACATCTTTTAAGGTAGGGCCTGTGACACTTGCAAATAGTGCGGGTACCACGTCGTGCGATATGTCCAGAGGCACCCGAGGACCTGCTAATCCTCTGCCTTTGCGTTAGCCATTCTTCGAAGCCCTTCACGATTATTCCCACTCTAGTATCCGTGCTGCAGATAAGCTAATATCAGCTAGGATTGTTTGGCCACGAATTAATAGTAATGTGCGAAATCGAACATGCGCTTGTCATACAATGCTGGCGTTCAAAAGTGTACACGTATAATGTCATACCATTTCGAACTTTCATCACACCTGAGACACTTTTTACTCACTTTCATCTGGGCATCTTTGGTCTACTTCCACCCTCAAATGGCCACTCTTATCTTCTCACATGCATAGATCGTTTCACTCGTCAACCAAAAGCTATTCCAAAAGCTGATACCACTGCAGACACGGTTTGTCGAGTCTTCATAGAAAGATCGGTAGCACAGTTTGGATGCCCTTCTACTGTGACAACCGACCGAGGGCACCAACTTGAATCTGTTGCCTTCAAGAAGGTTTTTGGCCTTTTGGGATGCAAACTTATTCTCATCGCTGCATATCGTCTATCCTCTAATAGTCTCATAGAGCGTGTACATCATCAACTTAAGGCTTCATTAATGGCTGTCGACTACGTGAAATGGACGGATTCTCGACCATTAGTCCTTCTCAGCACTCCCTCCACCATCAAAGTAGATACAGAACTGACTTCAGCAGAACTGGTTCACGGAACGACATTCTGTTTACCCGGCAAACTAGTTGCTTTGGAAAGTAGTGAGCTAAATGTTCCCGATGTACGCAGCTATGTACATGCGTCAACTTCAACCGGCACCTACCCGTGCGCAACACAGAAGGGTACAATTGAACATGAAGCCTCATGACTGCAAAAACGTTTTTGTGAGCTATGATGCTGTTCGGAAACTTCTAGAACTGCCGTACTTCGGACCCTTCAGGGTTATCAGCAAGAAAGAAAACTTCTTCCCAATTGATAGATCAGGACCGCAAGATCCCGTAAGTGTCGACCACTTGAAGGTAGAGCATATGGAAGATGACCCACTTCCCTCAACACTGACAAAACCAGAAAAGCCCTTTCCAGTAGACTCTGAAAAAGACTCCAATATTTGCAAAACTCCTGAATGTTCTGGTAAAACCACTGCTAATGGTACTAATATATTGCCTTCTACACGCATTGGTAGGAGTATACCTTGGCCTAAACGGTATATGGACTTTAATTAGGCTCAATGCAACTTTAACACTGTTGATATATTTAGTGCCTCAGCTACTTAATCACTGTGCATGTAAACATTGTGTTTTCGTATATTTAGTTTTATCTAAAGCTTTTGTTAAATACTAACCAAAAAATTAAAGCTTAGGAAACAAAAAAAGCAATGAGCTCGAAAATCCCAAAGAAAGAAAGCTTCTTTTGTTGTCCATCGTTTGTTTCTGTATTTGCTCATTTTTGGTACGTGACGTTCGCACCATGCTAATATTGTTTATTTCTCCCACTGCAGAATATAATAAACACGTTGAAAATTGGATACAATCGGTCCCCAACGATGCCACCCGGATCGTTCTGCGGTTCTTTTCGTACCGATTTCACTCTTGTTCACTCCCCTTTAGATTAGGATCAATAGGGAAATGTAGACGGAGGCTTCGGGTTATCTATCATCACTGCGAGAAATGGTGAGTTTAGACTCAAAGCTCTGTTACCTCGGACTTGTGCATAGTTGCACTGGCTTTGGAAACCCACCCGTCACCTACTCCATATCCTATGTGGAAAAGTGTTCTGTGTACGTCTCGCAGTTGTCTCCTAGAGTCGAAGGGTCCCAGCGTCCCAACAACCTTCTAGGAGGGAGATAACCTGTAGTGTACCCTTCCTGATAACAAAATGTAACCAGAGCCAAAATAAATAGATTAAATTGAATTAACTAGATATTAACAAAATAAATTTCTACCTCGCCACCGGATGCTTAAAGTATATTAAGTTTTGTTTTAACGAATATACAGTAGAGCAGGTTTCGACGACATTTTGCGCTCCCTCTGTGCTGGTTAACATGCACATTCTCAGATTCCGTAGCTCAGCCATACTACCCAGATAAGTTGGAGAAACTTTTTCCCAAAAGGTCACCTTCATCTTTATTCTATTTTAATATATTACTTTTTCAAGCATATTCCTAAATAACAGTCTTCTTGATTTGAGTTTCGTTATCAGTACTTGCACATCAAATAAGCTACTGATTAAGTAGGTACGAGAGCACATTGAAGTTAGTAAGGTTGGTTAGGTGATATGCAATATTAATACGTCTTCTCATACAATACTATCGGACAAAACATTTTCCATATGAACTGTTTAGAGATGCTACTTAGCAAAATTAGCAGAAGTTGTTGGAAATCCTTAATATGGATTAAACAATGGATCAAAAATTAGTAGTATGTTCGAACTCATAAAACCACCTGGCAGTGAGATCCAAAAACTTTATGGCCTCCCGAAGGTAAAAAAGGGGAATTAATGTTCCTCTCCATGCTACATTCGATATAAATACCATCCAGCTGCTAAGTGATCGGTTGAACTTCTTTAACCAGTGAGAAATCAAATTATTAGATGCATTTCACTTGATTTTTCGACTCTTTCGACTTCGTAACTGACCTCAATGTATCTGGCAAACGAATGCTGTCTTTGGACAGCACTTCTATACTGAAAAATATTCCAGTCACGGAGGCCTTTCGTTTGCTCTGTAACTACATTAAAACTAACAATCTATCAGTCTTTGTCTGGATTCATTGTCAAAAGAAAATCACTATTTCAAGTCATAAAATATAGCGACGAGATTATACATAAAACAGTTTAATAAAGTCTTATTCTAAAAAGGGGATGATTAATGCAACCGGAAATTTAAACAAACACCATCATGTTTCTTACTATAGTTAATGAAAACTCATTTATGCGATACAACTTTTCATTAGAGGCAAATACACAATTATTCGAGCGGAATTAAGTGAAGTGCATTTGAGCATATAATTATGTAGTTGAAAAACTGTTACCTGGAGCATTTTGCCACATTTGCATAACAGTTTTAATCACCGAATTAAGGACATAAACTGAAGCCTACTGGTAATTCTTCATGTTTCCTGACATTCTTCGAAGCAGTGTGCTCAAAAGTGTTGTCCGTGGAACCTGAAGTTCCTGGGTCCGATCCTTGGCGGCGTCATGGGTGTGCACCATTGAGGAATCCCATATCGGGACGAAACAGCTGTCCAGTGCTCCTAGGTTTCCAATGTTCTTCCAAATGATGTCAGTCCATGATGAATTCAAACCTGAGTTAAATCGGCTCATAAATCTACACAAACCTCCAGATTGCATTATGATTTAATTGATTGTGTCTAACAGAGGAATCCAGGACCCGCATTTCCTCCTGTTTGGGACTCGTTAAATGGGTGTACCTGCTGTCCAGTGAGTGCAGTTCGCAATAAGACTCGACTTTCATACTACAATATAGCGGTATCCGTATAGAAGTCGATCAATTCGACCCAGTATAGCGGAGAATTACAAGTATATCAACAAATAGTAGTAGCCAATACCCGTTCTACAATAAGTGGCTAACGTGCAACAGAGGCCCAGTGGATAACGTTCTAGGGGTGCAGGTACATCCAGCTGACGAGTCCCAAATAGAACAAAGCGCACGTCCTAAATTTCTCTGCTAGTCACAACCAACTAATTTATAATAACATGGCGGTTATTGTCTGATATATACCTATGTTAGATCAACCAGCAAATGCCAGTGTTGACAAACTAACCAATCAAAAGAAGGAATTACTACTGAGTGACTGCACTATGCTGTTTACAATAGTTACCATTCAATGGTCAGTAAAATATAATATGGCCATAGACTACTCAGTTGATGTAACTTGAAGGTAAAGATAATCCTAGTATGAGCCCAACACTTATAGTGGATTATCAAAAAGCTTTCAACCTTTTTCTTAATTCTGCTCTAAGATATTATGAGTTCCCTACTCAGCAACTTGAAATCATATGAATCTATGTCATGTCATAATCATGTTTTCAGATGATAAAGTAGTTTTATTTACTGGTGAAGAATATTCATTTCGAAGTTTTACGGGAGAATTGAGTTACATGACACTTTTATTCTGAATCATAACAACCTAGGTAAATGGTTGACTCTACAGATTTCATTCTGGGACTATCAGTATAAGGCTATATTCAGATATTTTAGGTTGAACTCTATTAAGACATATTTACTGAAGTTTTATTTCATTGAATTAGACATTCAGCTTTTCAGTAGTGGGTTACAATTTCGAACCATATCCTGTCTCGTAGGGGAGTGGCTAACCAAAAAGTAACACTGGCACTCACAGGTTAGTGCGTGAACATTTGCATGGCTTTTGAGTTGTATATCACAGTAGGTTGCTACTGAAGTCAGATCTAAGTCTTCAATCAATTCTTTTTGAGGACACTGATGAAAATATCTAAAGTAGCTGTAGTAAATATACTACTAACTAATATGAGTAGTTTTAGACTACTCATATCGATTGATTAATTGAGAAGTTGCAATTTTAAGTAGAGTACAGTGTATGTGATACCAGAAATCGCCAAAATACAATCCAATACTTAGTCATTATTTTTTGATTTTTATTACACCTTTGTAAGACATTCACATGGTTAACAAAACTTTCTCCAAATTGAAATAAAAAGGTCACAATTTAATTGATCAACTTAGAGCAAACTAAAAGTGTAAAATGAATCCATTAAAACATGTATATTAATATCATTAATATTAGTTTTTATTAATTATATTCTAATGATTTCTTAAATAGTAGAAACAATCAAAAATTAATTGTACACAGAGAACAAACTAACTGGAATCAGTAAAGGCTAAGAAGAAAATTAAAATTAATGTGTACGTAGGCAACCAGATGACAGTACAGACTGAGAGTATATTTACGATGGCAAAAAGCGTTATTTATACTTTATAAGTTATGAAAAACAATAAAATCATGGCCTTATATAGTTACTACAGGAAATGTTTGACTAGGCAAAGCTCGAGTTGAAAAACTCTTGAAGTATTCTGAAGCATATTTCACTACTTCATCTGGTTTATGAAGTAGTAGGGATTTGATGAAATCAGAAATCATATCACGTATTTCTGGATGATCGCGTAAGTATAACAGATATTGAGCTTTGATTTCATCCTATAATAATAATAATAATGATAATAATAATAATAATAATAATAATAATAATAATAATGAAAACAAAGGAGTTTATTCAGATTTAGTTTAAATTTCTCAAAGAAATTGATCGATAAATAAAGTTTTGATTAATAAATGCTATCAGCTAGAAACCGTAGCACACCTGACAGTTGATTAATTGTGATTTCGCACTCCTCTATACCGAAGAACTTGATGGAGAGCAACTTGATAAATGCATATTTCATATTGTATAGCTTGTAAATCATGATCCATTGAAGCGAAACTTTTATCTTAGTTAACTTGTAGTTCAGTTAGATCATTTACCATTGACATCTGTTAGAAGTTATTATCAATTTAAAGGGTGATTCTAAAGCATTTTCTTACTTAACACCGAGGACAGTTTTTCAACCCAGAATTTTTTACATAGCTAGAATCAGCAGATTTACATCCCAGATTACTGGTAATTGTTTATCTGATTTCCTCGAAGTATTCCTCATACTTCGGGAGTTTCAAACAGTAGTGATAAGTCACGAAGATGGCTATCACGTCCATACAGAAGGTAGGTCAATCACTATATTTTAAAAAAAATTGAGTATTTACCCATTTTCCTTACCTAGTAGACAATAGTTTGTTTTGAGATGAATGGGGATTTTTAATTAAGAAGTAGTATTCATCATAGACTGACATCAGTTGGGGAACCATTGAAAATCTGGGAGCACTGGATAGCTGTTTCATCCTACTATGGCACTCCTCAGCAGTACGCACCCACGACCCGGCTAGCGATCGAGCTCAGCATCTCCAGGTTTCACAGCAAACACATTAACCATTCAGCCATTGGGTCGGTTTCCAGTGGTTCACGATTTCCAACTTCTCTCGATTCACGACACAGCGTAACTATCACCCAAGGTTTTCAGTTAGCATCCGCTTCACTTACGACTGGTTGACCCCACAGGTCACGGCTTCTCATTAGAGCTTCCTGATATCCATCTGGAAGCAAGTCACTCATGAGCAGTAATGTATTTTTGAGATGAACTGACAGGAGTTGGAGGTCGTGAACCACTGGAAACCGGCCCAGTGGCTGAATGGGTAATGCGTTCGCCGTGGAACCTGGAGGTATTGAGTTCGATTCCTCGCCGGTCGTGGGTGCGTACTGCTGAGGAGTCCCGCACTAGGAAGAAACAGCTGTCTAGTGCTCCCAGATTTCCAGTGGTTCCCCAACTGATGTCAGTCCATGAAGAAAACAGTTTGTTTGACACTTCTCACTTGGTAGTTTTATTGAACTTGACAAATAATCGAAAAATGAAGGTTATCAAATAATAACAATCTTCTTGTGAGGTCTCCTGTATCTCATAGCTGAAAATAGAAACCTGGGCTATTTAAATACAGTTCTTTATAAATACATGGATGTACCGTCGACACTATGAGTAGCTTATCTAGAAAAAATGGGGTGATTTCTTGCAGTTATATTAAAACCTCATCAGTGTTATAGCAATCAACTAAATGAAAAGATCAACATTTCTAAGTACATCAATCTAATAGCCTGACATGTTATTCTTCTACAGCTCCTCGCCTGAACAGTAAAGTAGGTCTATTGTCAAAGCACCTTCTAACCGGTAAATGATGACTAAAAAAAGGCAATTCAAGCATAAAATTTTCTACCTGACGAACCATTTTCAAAGCCATTTATCAACAACCTCGCCTAGTTTGCTAGTTCATGGTCTGCTAGCCAGTCCTAAGCCCGCAAAAAGAGCGAAGGTTGGGCATAGGGCTAGCAACCTTACCCGTAAAACTAATCCAATCACTAAAGAAACTTCAAAGCACAGACAAAATATAAATCACAAGCTTAGTCCTCGCTCGAATCGGGGAGATGAAATGACGCCGGTTGGTGAAAGCCTTCGGGAAGCCAATTGGCTGATGTATCTTCTCTCTCTCGATGAAAACAAAATTAACCATAAGGTAAGGATATGGAATGTCTGGCTGGCTAGGCTGCTCAGATTACAAAAGAAATGAGAAGATATGGCAAAGAAGTGCTGGGCTAGGAATCTGCGAGGAATCTCCAGAAGGAATGGAAGTGGACTCCCCAAACTGTCAACTGCACAGTCAATAATCTATTCCGATATCGTCACCCAGACGACAACCATGAGCACACTGAGTTTTCGAGTGGCTATCATGATGTCCCCTTGAAAAGTATCGAAGGCTCTCTTCCATGTAGTGGGAGCAAATCCCCTCCAGCATCAGGATCATGACAGCAAGATTCAAATCGAAAAGGAGGAAAGTCATAATCATACAATGCTACACTACGCACCTACGAATAATGCAGACCAAGAGTAGGGGGAGGAATTCTACAGACAACTGCAATCAGTAATGGACAAGACCCAGCCCCAGATGGGGACATCAAAATTCTAATGAGAGGGGGGACATGAATGCCAAACTGGGAGCAGACAACGCGGGAAGAGAACTAACCATGGGTCGAGAGGCACTCAGTGAAATGAATGAGAATGGAGAACTGTTTGCAGATTTCTGCCCATTTAATGATTTGGTGGTTGGAGGTAGCGTGTACAAACACAAGAATATTCACAAAGCGACATGGATTTGATTTCATCAGATGGACACACTACACTAAAAATCAGATCGACTTCATTTCAATCTCAAGAGAGTGGGGACGCAGCCTACTGGACACATGATCAAGAAGAGGAGCAGATGTAGGTTCAGACCACTAGGAACTAAAGGGACAAATAGTAATAATAATATAATAAATATATTTATCAACAGTTAATAGGTCAATAAAAAGTCATCAAAAACGGTCAGTAAAGTCACAAGGTGATAACTTCTAGAGGGTCAACTCAAGGCCATCAAAAACTGTATAGGACTGCAACAAATAAACAAATAATAAAAAAAGAAACCGACAAAGTAAAACTAGAGACTGGATGCATCTCTTTTGAACGTAAAGATCAGGCTTGAACTTCTGGATAACCAAAGCCTCTGGTGTGTTAGTGTGACGAATAAACAATCCCTTCGAAGTGTTTGATTTCACTTTACAGATGACTTTGAAAGAAGATTCTCGTGAAGTAACATAACCAGAGATAATCAAATCCTCAGAAATCGAGCTAATGACGGCCTTACACTCCGCCTTAAAGTCATGCAGGATAGTGTCCAGAGATGTGTTTTGATAAAACACACGCTTTGCAGCCTTTGTAACGAGCTTCACAACAGAAGGTAAACTAGCAAACATACATGGTGACCCAAGGCGATAGTTTATCCTTTACACACACTTGAACTGGTTGTTGATTAGAAATGTGATCAACAAAATTTGTTTGACTTTTATTTTTCGCCACTAAAGAAGTAACTACAAACTGCCCATTTCTTTTACATACTGTTTTAACTGAAGGTTCTCACTTGTTTTATGGGATCATATTTGGTTCTAAAACTTCGTGCAGGCATTCAGTAAAACACAAGTTTAAAGTTGGATTACCATCTTTATTAGTGTAGGTGAAAATTGCTCATCAAAGCTATTGTTTTTATGTCAACTTCATGGGTTTTCCTCTAAACACCACTAACATTACTGCTATATTTGTTATTTACTTAAGGGCTGACCTATCATCATCAGTTCAAGCTAATCTGTGTTGTCAGTACCTAGCATCAACAATGAAGACATTCAGCTTGTATCTCATTGTCTTTCAGAATCATCATTATTGCCAACACATAGCATTCTAATACCCGATGCCCATCAATGTTAAGAATTTGGTAGAGGACTTTTTTCTATGGCATCAACAAAGAGATTTATCAGTATTACTGATTTGGCTTTGACTTCATTTTGTCACTCGGGGTGTGTTCCTTTTACGGAAGAACTTGAATTTGGACTACAGAACCCTTGGTTTAGATTCCGTTTCCCCGACTTCGGTCTCATTAAAAGGATATAATCATAATACCCCACACAATAACAATAGTCCATACCCCAGTAAACAAATCCATGCACCAGATTGGGTTGCATTATTATTATTTATTGTTAAAGCAGGCTATATCTGGAACTAGCATTACATAAACGTTATATCAATGGGCAGCGAATTCAAAAGCTTTGGATTTTGTACACACATTTTTAACGGAGAAAACGAACAACTCAAATGCAATTTTCAGTTACCAAAGGATACAAATGTTGGATTTCCCAGTTACCTCCCTAAAGCATCATAGTGAATTAAATACACTCTTGATACCTTGTTAGTTGTCACTGCATAATAATACACTTCTTCCTGTGAATGTATACTCCGTTCTCTGACTGCAGTTTCCAACCATCTCACTGGTAGATATTCAGAAATACATTAATAAATGTTTCACTGTTTATGACTTTTAAAGCTTTGAAACTTTTCAACGAATTATGAACTTTATCAGTTATCTACCAACAACTTTTATTGTTCAGTTGAATCACCAATATAAAGTTATTACTTATCCCTTTACATACAAGTTCTTAGTAGATGAACATAACAAGTGACATGATCTGAATCCGAAAATTAATACATGGCCTTGTACAATGATTTACAGCTCATGTAAACAATAGTTCTTACTTTTCGATCCAGAAAACGTGAATAAAGTTCCAGATCATCTTCCCAATTCAGGCTAATATGTGGAATAACTGGTTCAGGTAAATACTCCTCTAAATTAGGAACAAAATTTCCGTAAAGTATAATGGAAACAGGCACAGAAACAGACCTATTTTGAAGCGTTCAGGTATTTTGTCCACCTTGATGGTGATTGGAGATCCAACTTGCATTCTGAGTATCAAATGGCTATTAAATATAAAAAGATTTTATACCATTTATATATTTTTTTAAATGATACAGTCAAAAAAAACAACATATTATTCTCAAAACATCAAAAAAACATCATGAGAAGTTGAAGTGAACTGAATTGAGATATTTTTCAAAAATGTTGAAATCCTAAGAGTAAATGATCGAATAATCGGGAGCCTGGTTTTGATGTGTCTAGTTGGATACATAAGAGTAAGTGGAGGCTAATCAAAGTGGTACTAAGCCAAGACAGAACATCAATCTATGGTCTGAGCTAAGCGGAGAAATATGGGATAGCTGGTCAGATTCTTTGAGATAGAGAAAATTCGTGATCTCCAGTGACATAACCAATAACTAGTAGTAGGTAGGCAGTAGCTGCCTATACATTCTGCTCAGACTAAGGCCACCGCGACAGGAATGTTGAGATTAGATGTAGACCACTAGATTAAGAAGGCAGGTTAGTCGATTAGGTTGTAAACCTTAACCGACTGATATAGCTTGGACATGTGCTGCTTATGCCCAGACATTTTACATCGATATGCAGTTTTAACTAAAGTAGGGTTTAGTTGTAAGAATGCTAAGAACGTCTGGGTCAGGGCTAGGGATCAGTCCATGAAGATTATAACTGTTGGTTAGTCATGTAGGCTGCTTGGGTGAAGTTCTTGAGACTATAAGAAAGATTGGTTACAGACTTATTGATATGGCTCAAAATCAGGCGCAGTGGTGCAACTGAACACATTATTTTCGACACATGAAATTTCCAACATTTCGCTAACCTTCATTTCACCATCGTACACCGATTAATTTATTTTCTTTAGTTCATGACATTCCATTGTTCACTTCGTTTAATGCTACCTTACGATCATCACTGACAATAATGCACTTAAGTGCAAGCTTCGACATCGACTACCCTGCTTATCTGACTAAGACATGAGAAGCATTTAAAGGCCCGGTACCACTGAATCAAGTCCTGCATGTTACCAAAATGGGCTTCGATAAATGTTACGAAAACAATCTTGAAAAATCATGCTGACAGGGATTTATATCCTATAGACCTGTGTAGTCGGAAGAAGACAATCTTTTGTAATCTATAACATCTCATTTATCCTTTGACGTAGCATCACTCGCTGATCCTCTCTCCACTTCCCACTACCAGTTTTACGATTGGCAAAAGGTGATGAGTATTTGAGCCACAGAGATGACATACCCTGAGGCCACGAAGACTTGTGTTTAAAATTAGTTTTACTCAACTGTCAGAAATCTGCATGATGATCAAGCATGCACTGTTGCACCTCAGTTTCTGACATGCTGTTTTGATCACATATAGAAGCACATTATAGACAATAATTATCAAGTTATCCCAGTCATCGGAGATTCTCAGCCGAAAAGTACCGGATTTCGTATGCATGGTGTAAACCCATCCACATCGCCACTTTGTAAATCCGGAATTTCCAGGCTGGTCTTACGCTTCTAAAGGTGATATAAACTAGCTTATGCTGTGTTGATTTTTGGCATGCAGTTAGAAATCTTGTCAGTTGTAAATCGAACTTATGAAACTACCCAAATTCATGAACTTTCTTCCTGCTTCCCATGGTCTACCTCTAATGATGAATGAATTTAAATCACGATGACCCAATAAGTTGAGCTGCTGTAGTGCTTGTTCCCTTGAGGTCCTACCATACCAGGAAGGTTTGTTGAATAGTGGTTAGACAAAAAGCAGTTACCCTTACCCTTAACATGTTCGTAAACAACGAAATGATGCTTTATCGTGGCTTAGATCAGTCATCAGAGGTTATTGGTGATCCGGAACCACAGGACATATGTCCAACTACGTCTTCCATAATACAGGTCAATTGATGTGGCATCGAAAAAGCCGTACGTGTCCGCCCTCTGGCAGATGCCCATTGGGCTCTGCGATCACGCAGGAAACCCAGCCTTTCACTGTCTGGGCAGCCAGCAAGCGTCAACCGCCCTCACAATTCTGTAAACGCTCAATTTCCTTCAAATCACTATCCACCTCCCCCAGTTAACAGTCGTCCATCATTCATTTTTTCCACGTCTTGTGTATTCCGACAGAGAACATTACGACTTTTAAATCTGAACATCCAAGCAACTACGTATATATATTGAAGAGTATAAAACAATGATAACAATATTTTGAGATTATTCAGCAACGGAATGAATTCTTCATAGCATCATAAACAACCTGTCTATGCCTCCATGACACCAATTTAATCAGCTAGCTATCAGTTGTGTATCATGTTAATTCTTGCCTCCTCTCACCTCCTTAAACTAAACAACTGTTTGATGACACAGTAACCACAAGTCTGCAGAAGAGTGCAATCCACCACATTTCTTTTATAATACCTAATGCAGTGAAATCGTACTGTTTTCTGCATGACATCTCGAAAAAAACTTACTGTTCGAAATCATATTAAGATTATCATAAAGATTCCTAGTTAAGTTTTATTTTCTCCTATTCTTAGATTTTATCGGTGGTAATATTTTTCAAATAATTTAAGTTGTTGAATCATTCCCATTACTCGCATTACGATTACCTTGGCATGAACATAAACGATAAATTGTGCACAAAATATCAACCACCAAATAATAATGTTTTTCTGTTATACATACAGGAGAACCAAAATGCAGAAAGTTGCCGTCAAAAAGCCGGAACGGATTAAGAACTAATTCGAGAAACCGTATCGTCAGAATCTCTTTCTTTATGAAAACACGACTTGGAACTCTACCCACTGTCAGGGATAGGGTTTAAAGAATTCAAATGATCTGTGCTCGTTTTTTACCAAGATATTGAAAATCTTTTAAGTGGAGGATTTATTTACAACTATCACCGATGACATGACATGGGAAAGACGTGTATATTCTAAGTCTTGTGACTGCCACTTGCCTGGATACCAAAAGATAAGAGAAAGTAAGATTACAATTTTTGACCAAGTTAGTGCGAATGTCACCAATCAAGAAGAGAAGTTAGATGTACTTACCCATCATCCATGAAGTAGGTTTGCCACGAGGATGGGAGAGAACTCTTTGAATGTACCGTCCGTTGAATCCCTTTGACAGCCACTTCACTATCTCCAACGAATATGTTTCTCTCTCCAAGACTGACCTAACAGATATAAAGTAGACAGTATAAAACCAACATAGGACACCGTGGCTAGGTTGTAATCTGGATCCAAACCAATGACCTCAAGTGGGATTGAAGATAACTTGACCACCATTCTCTGGAAGATTATATCTGCACCTTCAGTTATGAATCCAAACATAGTAGACTTTAGTAGCTGCTTTTTAGTTGATGACTTCATTTCTCCATTCACCGATTCCGTAGTAGAGATTTCATACACATTGTCAACGAGTTTGATGGAGAACGTTTTCTCCATCACCTTCCCATTTATCTTCATTGTGGATGATCACAAAATTGTAGGTGCCCTACCATGATGGTTTCTATCTTCGACTGTGAAACAGTTTCAAGAGAAAAAGTTATATGTGCTTCAAGTTTTGTAGTGCTGTGAATTTCACCTAATACAGTACTGCTTGAAGCCTTTACAAGAAAGCCCTTCACGTACAGCTCCTCACTTTTAACAGAGGTCTATTTAGAAAAGCATTTAAAATTAATTATTAATACTTCATATGATCCAACTGGTTTGTTATTATTAGCATAACAAACGAGAAAATCATCAAACACAGTAGTCTTCAGTTTTCCACTGTCTTTCAATAAGAAAAAATAAGCAACCTTGATGGCTACCTAGCTTTTCGAAAAATTCCCTGGCTTTCTGATCGATACAAGCAACACTCTCCATATTTACTGCACTACACTTGTAAAATTCGACTGAACATTGGCGACCAAGGCCGTACCAGTAGTCCGAATAAACAATTAGGCCCTGAAATGAATCTAAACGACTGGTAACGGTATAGAAGAAGCTTTCTCCAAACTAGCTCCCACAATCAGATGCAGTGGATCAAAGTTTATCTTAGTTTTCAACCGATGAACAGAACAAAGAGAAAATTATGGCGGTTTAGTAAGAAATAAATTCACGGAATTAAAAGCCTAGTGCTGGAAAAAATACAGCAGTAATGCCGACCGCCATAGTTTTTACGAATCACACAAGCCGAAGGCACAAGGCCATACATCTGGAACATTTGGCACGTTATCATGTTACGCTGCATTGCTCGTACGCAATTCTGAAGCTAGTTGGTTAGGGTGCATCGCTATCTTGGCATGTGTCACCAAACATGCTGTTTCTGAATGGCTGTACTGTCGTGTTTCTCCTCTGTTGAACACTAATGGTTATTAAACAAGTACATGGAGTCATTGGTTGGGCGCTGCATCTGTTAAGATCGCATCAGGGTAATTCCCAAACGGTTAATATAAAGAAAGCAGGTTGGTTCACGTTGAACTCACCCCACATCGTAAACCAACAGTGATTCAGCATTAAGCAGATTTAGAAGTGGTAACCTGGTTTAATTCAGTGGGCTAATTGTTCCTGGATTTAACAATCCTTTAGGAGTGGAGGTTTAGCCTGGCACTTAAACTGCTATATATACGCTTAATTTCTGTGTTCTCTGGAATCGACTTTGCAACTAAGGTTGAATAACTGACGAAGTGGTCATTCGCGGGTGCTGATAAGGTTTGAAGCCATTATCAGTGACAAAGACTACGCGCTACCGATCCTTACACGAATCTTTCAAGTTCAGGTCCTCGAAAAAAGTGTGTTGAAAATCGGGTGGAAACATCCATTGAATTACCCCGAAAATTCATGTGACAGCTACTGGCAGCCAACTTCCCCGAAATGCGCATCTATCACACTTGGCATAGGATCACTTGAGTCACTGGTTATTAAGCTAGTGAGTCCAGTATATCAGTATTATTACATCATGCCTGGACCATGTACTAGCGAACGAGGATTTTGTCGCTTGTGACATGTGTGCTAGCCGCCGCAGCTATCAGTCAGTGATAGCCTCCATGATAATTGGGAGGCTGTGCAGCTAGGAACGCTGAACACCTTCACTTGCAACACCAAGGTGGACTATGAGACCACAACAGATCATCTCACAAAAGCAACATGGTCTGACGACTGCAAAAGTCTCACAACAGCTAAACGCTGGACGCAAATACAACAATTAGTCGTCATAACCATCCGTCACAGTGCGCCGGAAGTAACGCACTGACTGTCTGTGAGAATTCCATGACCAAAACAGGGAGCACAAGGGCTGCTTCAGACCGAAAATTAGATCAAGTTCCGAGAGAAGCCCGCAGCGCACAGTCAGACCTTCTGACCCACAAATGAATGCTCAGCCAACGCAAACGACGGGTTTGACCATCACTCAAACCTATTGAGAAGGTTACAAGGCGGTCAAAAAACCTGCTCTGCCTGATGTTGAGGAGGAAGTCGACTAGCAAATGAGTAGATCCCATAACTGTCCTCAGTGGCGAATGAACGAGCAGTTTAGAAATAGCTGGGATCCTGAGGTCTGGCTTTGAAGCGCATCTCAGTACTTCTGACACCTAATCCGCACTGGCGAGAAAGTAGTGCTCAGACTGGTGGAATATATCCGTCTCATGAACTTCAGCAAATTTTAATCGGAGTATGCACACTAATGACCTGATGTGTAAATTATTTAGTACTAGATACCAGCTCGTAAACTTTCAAAAATTATGAATTTGACGGTGCCTGTAAACTGGTATTCCTCACGTAAAAACCGTTAAAGACAGTATTTATTATTATCCAAACTTTAGCACTCTATGTACGCTGTAAAGTAATATTTCCTTGTTCGTTTCATAACTAGCAGGACCTTCGGCAGTTTTTAATTGAGTTTAATGACATCCCATTAGTGCCACTCAGGGCTCAAGTCTTGTAGATATTTTGAGATGTATCAACATGATGAAGCCTGTAAACTGGCTTCTCTCACGTAAAACTGTTTTTAACGTGAGATTAAAAAATGAATTTCTTCGTTACTTCCACACCACCAGGAAAAGTGTCAGCCAAACTGCGAAAAGTACTACTACTGGACAACCTGAGTGGTAGGGAACCTCTTGGGCCGATCTATAGTATTTCGCCGGCTAGATCAGAGTGATCTAAAAATCAGGTAGCTGTCTCGCTCTTTTTTGGCTGAGATAGCTCATCAGTGGTGCACCCGGACAAGTTCAACTCGCAGAGCCGAATTGGTTCAGAACACCTGAATCTGGCTGGCTGAGTTCTATGAACCGGCATACTTAAAACGGAGTGGACAACTTTCAAATGATTTACAAATTGCGTGCTCCATATTGACGTTTCTTACAGCTGAGTAGTTTTTCAGCTGCCCAACTGTGAAGTCAACGAAACTATCTAACCCCGTCGAGGTAAGTGTCCCAAGTGCGACAACCATTGACCTGCATTCCCAGGAAACCCACCTAAGGTACTGGCGAAACTGATCTAGCACTCTCTAGAGTTAAGCTAGTTTTCTAAAGAGTAGACATGCCCCATTCTACCACCTAATTCCAGGCAAGAAAACAGAATTCACCCTGGCAACTAGAGACTGATTGCCTTACTACATATGGCACAATGTATCGGAGAGCCTGATATCAGATGGGGTCTGGGAATTCCCAGGTAGGAAGAACACTGTTCAGGCTACTTACCACGGCCTTCAGAGGGGCTATTCTCGCTCCATCAATGCACATATTGCTTGGGACGACTGGACCATTTAACTCTGATGATGGGAAACGAGTCCATGTCATTCTCCTTGACTCGGCAAAAGCGTTTGACAGTGGTCCGCCTTAAATCCTACTCCACAAGATGCCACTAGCAGGCAGTAGTGAATCTCTGACTCCTCTTTTCAAAGGGCGCCTAGGAGGCTGACAGTTCTGCCCGAAGGTGGTCAAAGTGTGTTCAAAGTGGGGGCCACCAACATCTGGGTTATTACAGAGGGCAATCATCCGGTCACTTCTGTTCCTGCTGTTCACAGACTATCTCCCACACAAAATTTCTCCACCCATCTCTCTTTCTGCTGCTTACATTGAAATGAAGCGGGTGGAACATGAAGAGGCCGACTGTGGAGCACCCCAAGTGAACCGCAGCAACTAGAACCCTGGCCTCAGAGGACAGCTCAAGCACTGGCCCGGAAAAGCTTAGAGCAGTGTACATCAGGACCGGTGGAGCAAGAACAGCCGAATTCAAGTAGAAGCTGAGCAACCATTCAATCACCTTAGCGTCTATGGTAAAGATCTAGAGCTTGCTGCCTACAATACCCTGAACTACCGGTTTTGCTCACAAGGGAATGGTATCCAGCGCGAACGGCGCTTCACACTTCCTGCGTGGACAGCTCAGTACTTTCACGTCTGAACTGTTTCCAGCAGTTTTCAAACTTTATATACTGCCGTATCTGAGAGTCTTCGATACAGTAGCACCCTGATGTGAAGACGAGGCTCCAGTCTTCTTGCGAAGATACGGAGATCCGAAAGGAAGCCATTTGTCGGGCCTAAGGTGAAGACAGACTCCAGCATACTGAAGCACCGGAACCTATTTACACTGAGCTATCACAGAAGTGGTAGTGATCTTATTATAGCTTGCAAATCATCCATCGGGTAAGCCAAGTGAAAAAATTGAACTTACCTCCAACGTGGCGGTTACCATGGGGGGCGACATCAGGATGGAACGTCAGATAGTCGACATCGTACCAACACCAAACATTTTTCGCTAAATTTACCTGCCTCATGGAATGCTCTACCATGGAATGTGATCACAGTCCTTCCAGTAGACTCATTGGAGAGAAGGTCAGACAATTATTTTAGTCCGTACTGCCTCCATGCGACGTACTCGGGCTGATACTGGGCCAACCAGCTCACTACCACTTTCTCACTTGGCACTTGTTTTGACACATCTGCTTTGGATTCCAACTCCTACTCAGTAACTAGACTCATGCCATCTTCTTTTATCTTTCGGAAACGTCCCACTGACGTTCTTCACTATCTTGATCCTTCCATTCAGGCTCCTATAGAAGCAGAAGTTTCGGAAGACCCCGGATCAGCCCAGGAACCAGTAGATCTCCCACCAACTCAGCCTTTAACATGCAAATGTAAAATCACAAAATGTACTCGCCTCACCGGAGCGTGAGCCATATCCAAGGTGTACAACCTTGCATTCTTAAGGGTTGGATGAAAGCCCGTTGTTGACAACGTAGTTTTGAAAACACGTTGAATCCCCTCATAAGAGGGCGGTGCCCACCCGATTTCTGATTCCTCTACATAATCTTACATCACCATCGAAAGAGCGGGCTCCAGAAGGAACCGGTTAATGCAAGTCATTTATGTGTGTCACAGAAAGGGGAGGCCCATTCAGAGATACTTCTGGAACTGTGCTCTGGTACTTTGTCTCTTCAGACCTGAAAATATGTACCTGAACCACAAATAAATCGTGAAAATAAGTTGATAGGTGGTGATTCGTTCTTCATTAGCTTCAGTTCACCAAAAAGGTGGCTGTAAATAACACAATCAAGCACTTCCGAAAAGCCCGGTTAGATAATACTGGTTCTGCCTCAACGGTCGGCAACACTAGTCCACTTGTATACTGCAATAAGCTAGTCAGTAATGCGCGGTTATCGTTTCCTAGAACCATGCTACTTGGGGTGTGAAGAAGTTACTTGCTGCGAGGCGATCCTTACACCCGCCGCGAACTGATGGCCGCACTGCTTTGTAATGTTTAGGTATGGGAGTGACCAGCTTGTAGTTCCTGAAGTTTTTTCGCTGACGATTTTTGAAGACCGATGTTACTGACGCGCTTCGGAAAGATTTGACACCCTGTGACGACAAGGAGAATCCCTAAATATTTCACTCCATGATTTAGTCACGAGGGGTGTTCCTTCCCAAGCGGACCTCA